TTCATGTTCTGACAACATCTAAAATGGAAATATATCCTTTATCAAGACCTACCGTTTGGGATTGTAGCATAGAGGGAACTCTAAGACTAGAAGGTCCCGAAGAAACGTGCTCAAGTTTTTGGCTCAGCTCTGGTATTATCTTCGGTTCCAAGCTAATCGATGCACCCCTCGAAACATAGGAAAATCCACGAACCCCTCATTTTATCTGTCAAACTTTCATATCGAATCAAAACAAACATAGTGTAGTACTAGAATTTTGGCTATAATGGGGTACGTGAAAAGATTTGCTTGGGACCAATAGGCTAGTCAAGTAGTAAGCCAATTTTAAATCGTTAGTTTCCACCGGTTGATTGTAGTCCTTCAACCTTTCATTTTCATTCCCTCCAACATTAGATTCTGCTACGCCTTCCGTTGGATCGTAATGTAGGTACCGGATCTTTCTTCTTTTTGAATCAGCTTCCAAATGACGGTAACTCACTCAATGGTGGTGGAAGCTGCCAATTTCTTATAATTGATTGCTTTCAACAGGCAAAATAAAGAATATTTCAATTCCTCGTTCACAAGCAAAAGTTACTTTCACTAGGTACCCGCATAAACGCGAACCATAAATTGACCTTACCAAAAATGGTTAAAAATTGTTTATAATCCCTGCTAAACTTCAACTGAAATGGTTATGGAACTTTACAAGAACGTTTAATGATAAAGATTTAACCTTATGTATTATGGTTTTTTGGAAGCGGACCTTACAAATAATGAGTTGTTAAGAACCATTACCATTCAAAATTCTTGTTTTCTCCATATATTTTCGGGAGGAGGACTATATTAGAACCTTTTAACTTATGGTTTGAGAACATTAATGGTTATGGTTATGGTCAGTCTTGTAAACAATCACGGTAGTCGACACATTTTCTGTGATAATTGACTGCCTTTGCCTCCGACACTTGCAAAACAAGCTATCATAAATAGTACAGTACCAAACTAAAATGTCATATGACAGGCTCTGTTATACGACACTGTCGCCGAAGACCGTCACGAATGTATGTATTTTAGTTTTTCTCATAATAAGAGCTGATGATGGTGTGCTTGTGTGAATTCTAAAAATAGCAAGCAATGATGTCCTAGTAATAATATTTCTTATCAGAAATGGTTTGATTTACACCAAATTGAGGAATTACAACGAAATCACACATGTCATATGATAGCTATTTTGATTATTTTTTTTTAGCTCGAATGTTATTCTACCGCTCGTGTTGTGTGAGAGAGACGACGGTAGAGCATGAGTGTTCAAATAAAAACAGACTGTCGCGCACGACAACGAAGCGAGTGTAGTAAAAAACGTCAACTGTTTCAACCCCTGGTTATGGTAGTCAGTAAGGTCCATGAATAGTTTTGTAACATCGATCAACTTTAAGTGGAATATATCGCAAATTGGTTGCCTGTAAATTACTGATTACCAATTCACGATATATTCCACGTAAAGTTGAGCGATAATACAAAACCATTAATGGACCTTACTGACTATCATAACCATAACCATTAATGTTCTCATACCATAAGTAAAAACGTTCTAATATAGTTCTCTTTTCGAAAATGTATGGAGAAAACAAGAATTTTGAATGGTAATGGTTCTTAACAACCCATTATTTGTGAGGTCCGCTTTCAAAAAACAATAATACATAAGGTTAAAACTATATCACACAAACGTTCATGTAAAGTTCCATAATCATTTCAGTTGAAGTTTAGGAGGGATTATAAACAATTTATAATTATTATCGGTAAGGTCAAGTTATGGTTCGCGTTTATGCGGGTATCGATCCGAGTTTCACCATGATCCACCATGACAAGTTTTTCGGTTTGGAGTTGGAAAACTCTGGCTTGCTGGGATTAGGATACAAATTGCTGTGAAATTTTGTAGAGCAAAACAAAAACAACAACGAAGCCTCGTTATGATTGTTCGTTTCGGTGACATTAGGTCACACACACAGTCACTATTTATGAGCAATCTCACTAACACTTGTGCTTCAAAGTTCCAACTTTGATTGACAGAGGCGCTGTTATCAGTGACGTTTGACATTTGTATGGGAGAAGGGAACAGTTGATTGATTGATTTAACTTTATTAGGGAGGCTTTCAGCCTGGGGCTGGTTCGCCTCCAGGGGAACAGTTGCCAGTCTTCTTGATTTGTAGTCGTCGGTAATATCCTATCGATTGGCGTAAAGGGCGAACACGAAATTACTGCGACACCGAAAATGTCATGCCAATTTTCTTATAATGTTTAGAATCAAACCAAAATTTTAGGGTAGTTTTATACATATATTTACTTCAAAATTCAAAAGAAAAGTTAATCGATGGAGCCTTGAGTGTAAAATTGAACGCATTTTCGCTTGATGCCCTCCATCAAAGTCTTTACAGTGTCATCCGGTACCAGTTTCTCAGTTTTTTTTTTTCCATTTTCTTAACATGTCCTTCTCGTCTTTGACTGTCTTCTTGCTCTTCCGAAGTTCCCGCTTCATTATTGCCCAGTACTGCTCCACCGGGCGCAGCTCCGGACAGTTTGGCGGATTCATGTCCTTTGGAACAAAATGGACAGAATTGGCCTCATACCACTCCAGGACACTTTTAGAATAGTGGCATGATGCCAAATCTGGCCAAAATAGCGGAGCTTCGTCGTGCTGCTGCAAGAACGGCAAAAGGCGCTTCTCGAGGCACTCAGATTTGTAGATCTCGCCATTTACTGTGCCCTTTGTCACGAAAGGCTCACTCCTCAGTCCGCAAGAGCAGATGGCCTGCCAAATGAGATATTTGGAGGCGAACTTCGACATTTTCTTCTTCTTAAATTTGTCGTCCACATCTTGCTCTTGCTTTGCCGGTGAAAAACTCCAACCCCGGAATTTGCTTAAAATCGGCTTTTATATACGTTTCGTCGTCCATCACACAGCAGCCATATTTTGTCAACATCTTCTCGTAGAGCTTCCGTGCCCGAGTTTTAGCCGTCGATTGTTGCCGCTCATCGCGGTTTTGGAAGTTCTGTACCTTGTATGTAAGTAGTCCAGCTCTCTTCTTTGCATTCTGGACGTAGCTCTGCGACATGCCGATCTTTTTAGCCAAATCACGGCTTGAGACGTTTGGGCTTCACCTTTCCCTCCGTCTTTTTGTTCTCCGGTCCCGGTTTTCTTCCAGCTCCTTTGCCGTGGTCCAACGTCAACCGCTCCTGGAACCGCTTCAACACTCTGGAGACGGTTGAATGGTGAATGTTCAACATTTTCCCCAACTGCCGGTGCGACAGGTCAGGGAATTCCAGGTGTTTGGAAAGAATTTGTTCTCTCAACTCGCGTTGGTTCACCTCCATTTTCGTTGAATCGAAAAACACGACTTCGAGTTTGACAGCATGTACACAATACACATTAATGAGAAAGTGTGCAAAATTTGGTTGATTTTTACCCAATGGTAAAAAAGTTATGCCCTGTTGAATGTGTCGCAATAATTTCGTGTTCGCCCTTTATTTAGATTTTATTTTCATCTATAAATGGCAAAGTTACAAGCGTTCAAAACCTAACAATATTTCACCACACATATTTTTTTGATTTGCACCCCAGTATAGTCGACAAAAACGTAGTTCTACGTCAAAACAGCTTCATTTAGGAAGTTGTTCACCAATCATATCATATTAATTTTTTTCCTTGATTTGTTTTCCGTGCTGAGCACGAATGCTACCGACGCCAGGCAGGCAGCTCCCACACCTGGACCCTACATATCGACTCATCAACTCATGAACCGGTGACCAACGGCTTTACTTCCAACGGCGTGATCAGAGATGTTATGCCTCAGAACATCCCGGTGGCGCTGACTGGGATTGAACCCAGGCCTGCTAGGGTGAGAGGTGATCACGCTTTCCACTACACCACCGGTGCTGCTATATATAATATTTTCTGGTTCGTCTCCATATATATCATATTATTTTAATGTGCTAATTCATATAACAACTTTAAATTGAAAAAAAAAACATGGAAAGTTTTTCAGCGAGGAACTTTTTTTTTAATGTTTATCGATCTCTCCATCCATTTATCAGAAAAAAAATGATAAGCAATTCAAAATTTTATTTTAGAAAATTATCAATTTTTTCCAGTGCCTATTTTTTTCTAAAATGCTCAATTGATTCTCTACAACTTCTTTTAGGACACAACTTCGTTACAATCAACGGTTTTCGAGTTATTGTTGTTTGTTTGAATAATCCATATGTGAAAACACATACGGCACGCCTTTTTGAAAAGAAATAGTCTTGAGTCAAAAAGATCTTTTGACCTATGTCCCATACCGAAGACATGTTGAAAGTTTCATCCAAATCGGAGAGGGTCGAGCTAAGCCGTTTGCTGATTTGGCAGAAAATTGTTTAGTAACGACATAACAGAGAACATGGACCGAAATCAAATTGTTGACCTCGTAAACGCTGCTAATGTCTGTCTAAAGCAATCTGCTTCTGGAAGGAACACGCGAAAGCACAATAAACCACGTTACTTTCGCAAGTTGTACATCCAATGACTCTATCATAATATCCTCCGACCGACCTCCGTCGTGAGTTTCTTTGTTTAAAATCGTAGAAGAAAATCAAAAGCAAGTTCCACTGCACATTTACAACAGCTGATATCCCCATACATGTCTAGGCACTACTGCAGGCATATCGATATCGGACTAAGAACCGCATTGCTCCGAACACAAGGCTCAGTTTCCCTTTGAGCTACGAAGCCCTAAGCCATAATGCAAGCATCAGGTCGACTACTATTAATAATACTAAGTCTTGGACGCAAGAGTTGCACGACGCTGAGGCAATCCGATCCGATCGTCATCGTCAATATAGCTATCTACCTGCCTACCTACTAAACTTGTGACGCACATCTTGTAAACCAACAACAGCAAGCATCAATTTTCGCTGCTTTCGTTGTGATGTGGTGATAGAAGGAAGGGTTACTCGTTGGCTGCTAATCAGCCTAGTAGTCAGTTCTGCTTCGCGTTCCGTCGCGTGTAGTCCGCTCTGGCTTTCGATTTCTTTGTCCGTTGACTGTGCAAGTTTCAGACGGGGGCGGTGCGATACCCTCTCAATGTGCGAGTTCTTGTAAGGAGTTTTTCGACAAAGTTAGCGAATTTGACCTATTTTGATACGTGAACCTACAACAGGTGAACACTTCCTTCAACTCAGTAGTGTATAAACAGTGTTCCATTCGGATTAGGAATAAACCGTTTCACATTGCTCCAGGACAATAACTGTAATTCCAAGGAGCTACAACCATCGGGATTTGAATTTTGGAAAACATCAACCGTTAGTTTTTCTGAGGAGGTAAGTCCACTAAAAGTTACAAAACGCGGTACCAATTCGTCGTCGGTTGCACTTTCCAGCGAGAGCGAAAACAAGTTTCAATTTGAAAAAATCCAACGAAAGACTTGGGGATAGGCGAGGAACCCTGATGTGACGCTATGCTAGAGCGTTGACCATCAAGCGCGCCAAGTTCTTCTGTTGCAACTTGGTGCATTTTTTCCTAGCAGTTATGCAACGAGTGGATATGCTGTGCTGTGGAAAATCCTAGAAACAGCTACGGGCAGCATGCCACAACATATCTTCTAGCAGCAACGATCGGCGTTTCGGGTAGACTTGCGTGTGTTTGAAAACGTGTTGCTTACACTTCTAATGGCAATGCAAAACCATTTGCTTTCGAAATCTACGGACACGGTGGATTTCATGTGGGTAGGTTAACATTAATCGTTCCGGTGGAAAAAAAATATGAATTTGAATCAAGTGAAAGGATAGTTTCCAAAACAAACAACGACACCTGATTTGCAACTGATTGCAGTTAAAATGCAGCCACTTCGCTGGGACATGATCTCTTTCATCACAATAATTACGCTGCATCCTGCTCGAACAATAGTCACGCAACTTTCTGAGATTGTTAATCATCACTTCCTTTCCTCGCCACTGCAGCGTCATTCCAAAGATCTTTGACATTCGGTCGTAGGTTAATGTACGGATTATGATTGATTTGCTGCTTCCCACGTGTATCCAGCTTTGATCAGTGTCTATTTGATTGCTCAATTACATGTTCTTTAAAGAGCTGTGGTTTCACATGAACGGATAAATAGCTCCCATAGGTAACGTAGACAATCTAAAGGGAGCGTGTGTGTCTACGCTTTATACAAATTGATAAAATGTGTCGATTGTGGTAAGTCGACTTAATTTACAGAAAACTGTTGATACAAATAGTATCAAGCTGCAATTATCAGCAAAATTTACTATGGCCGTTCTTTTCAAGGATACATAGGGCATTATTTTACCTGTGATGTGATGTCATTAATACTCAAGTAACACACTTTCATGCGATTATGTTGAGTAAACTTCTTTACAGCCAAATTTAGTTATTTAAATGTATTAGAAAGTGTTATAGAGCTTTCGTGTTGCTTGGGTACTGTTGCAGCTTTGTATAGTTTACTTGTTCAATGTCGCACAAAGAGCTATTCAAATCTGGAAATGAAGACGAGTTATTTAACTTTTTGAGAGTTCATAACGTGCATATTGCCGTTATAACTGAAACGTTCCTTAAACCTGACCATAAGGTTAAGAGGGACGCAAATTATTTCATTTATAGAAATGATCGTCTTGATGGAGCCTGTGGTGGCGTTGCCATCATTGTTAATAGACGAATCAAACATAAAATTCTTTCTTAATTTGAAACCAAAGTTTTTGAAACTTTGGGAGTTTCTGTTGAAACAAAATTTGGATAACTTACGTTTATAGCTGACTATTTACCATTCCAATGCGTAGGCCAGCAAAAGAATTTTCTCAAGGATGACCTACAGAAACTTACCTGTCATTTATCTAAATTCTTCATTTTGGGGATTTTATTGCAAAACACCGCTCATGGAATAATGCTCAAAGAAATTCAAATGGTAATATTCCGTTTGATGATTGTTCTGCAAGTTATTACACTATTCAATATCCAAACAGCCCAACATGCTTCAGCAAGAAATCCCTCAACGATTGATTTGGTCTTAACTGATTCAAGTCTACTTTGTACAAAGTACACATGAATCAGTTAAGACCAAATCGATAGTTGAAGGATTTCTTGCATGTTGAATTACTTTGAGCATTATTCCATGAGCGTTGTTTTGCATTAAAATAACCAATAATGAAGAATTTAGACCAATGATGGCCAATTGGTTACACATGCTGACTTCGGTTCTGATCACCTTCCAGTGACTTTTGAAATATCCCAAGAAATAACTTCTAATCCCAACAGCACTACTTTCAATTACCATAGAGCTGATTGGGAGTAATATCGAACATTTATGGAATATAGCTTTGATCCAAACATTCCTTTGCAAACCAAAGATGAAATTAATTCTGCTCTTGAATTTCTGACTACTTCTAAAACGCGAGGTTAAAGCCGATTCAATTATAATAGACGACAATCTTCTGCTCTTGATCCGTCTTAAAATGTCCGTAAGAGACAATATCATAGAACACGCAATCCAAATTAAAACGCGATTTTCTGCCCTGAGGAACAAAACTTTTGAAAATAATGTTTTTAAATTAGACCCAAGTTCCAAGCCCTTTTGGAAAATCTCAAAATTTTGGAAAAACCTCAAAAGCCTATTCCAGCGCTTAAAGAAGGTGAAGGTAAATTTTGATCAAAATTTCGAAAATAGCTCAGAAGCTTGCTATTTAATTCGTGAGCTCCCGCAATTTTAGTTTGGGTATTACTAGTCCTATTGAGAATCAGGTTGCTCGGGATTATCTGAATATCTTCTCTCGGGAAAATATTTTTGATTATTCCTGGGGGACTAATTTGGACGAATTAAGATCTATAACTTAAAAATTTAATAATATGAAAGCTCCAGGTGATGATGGAATTTTCTATATCCTCATCAAAAATCTCCCAGAGAGTACCTTGTCTTTCTTGGTAAAATTATTTAACAGATGTTTCCATTTGGCATACTTTCCTGATAAATGGAAAAATGCAAAAGTTGTTCCAATTTTGAAGCCGGATAAAAATCCAGCTGAAGCTTCTAGCTACCATCCAATAAGTTTACTTTCGTCATTAAGTAAACTTTTCGAAAACATAATTTTAAATAGAATGGGTATTCAACTACTCATCAACTCTTAAGAGTTACCAATTTAATTCGCTCAAAAAATCTGAAGGCTGCTCAACTGGAGTTGCTCTTCTAGATAGTATTTGGCATGAAGGTTTGATTGCTAAATTGAAAAAGTTTAATTTTCCAGCCTGTATTATGAAATTAGTTCAAAATTATTTAACTGGCAGAACTCTGCAGATAAATTATCAAAATTTCAAATCAAAACGACTACCTGTTATAGCAGGAGTTCCTTAGGGTAGCATTCTTGGGCCTATATTGTATAACATTTTCACTTCGGACCTCCCTGATTTGTTTTAAGTTGTCAATTGTCATACTGACAAGCAGGTTTAAAAAACTTGTTTAAAATAATGAATTGCCAAGACAGGAACAAAGTAAAAACACTTAGATATATATTATAGCAATTAAGGCTGGTAAGTTACTGTAGTAACTGGAGCACCTAGGTTAAAATGAAATGTAATTTATTTTGAATTTAGAATAAATAGAGAGTTTATTCACTCTACCCAATCAAATCGGGGTTGCCTTCCCAATCCCAGCATTGTTTTGTATATATGAGCAATAATACAAATTAAAAATTTAAAACGATCTCACCAACTTTCACTGCTTCTTCACTCTTTTTTTCCAATTTTCGTGTCTATTTGTGAACTCGTTGTCCTTCTCTGCATCACTGCTAGCCGCTACTAGTCTCCCGAAAGCCTCCCATGTTATTTCTTATGTGTTCTACGATATGTTGACGTCCATTATCTTTGTATGATGATCTTGAGTTCCTAGTTGCGTCTAATAAAACCGTAACACCAATGCTAAAAATGGACAGTGTCTCCGGGTATTTTCTTAACGAGCATCACTCTACTGTCGTATCGCATGTGCTCCTTTTTGCAGCACTTCTTTCGCTTTTACTTTGTTGAGTTAAGTTTTATTTATTAGGGAGGCTTTCAGCCTGAAGTAGGTTCGCCTCACGATTAAAAGTATTTCAATGCAACATTACATATGTTCACTAACAATTAACACAATTTTCAATATGTTATCTTAACTAATTTTTGGAATACATACATATAGCTTAGACCTGTTCATTTTAACCGAAATGTTCGGAATGTAACGGGTCAACCGTGATTACTGTTCGTCATGTTAATTTGAACTTCTGTGAAAATTTTCAGCAAAATCGGTGATGATTTAGAGGTGCTTCAAGTTAATTTTATGTTTTTAGGTAATTTACGGCTTATAATATTTGTATCTCGAGATTGAAACAACGAAAACTGCTGTAACAACTTTCATAGTCTACTGAGGATTCGTATTTCTAAAAATAGCATCTATAAATGAAACAGTCATCGGACGTTATTGAAAAGCAATGCAAATATGTTCTGTCAATCTAATTGAAACTTTTATTGGCTCAATTGACTTGTGAATTTTAGCTATAACGGCCTCTTTTCTGATTTTTATCTCTCAATCTATGGAATCTACATGAAACCTAATTTGAACAAAATTTCTAGAACTGTATTAGAAAGATTATGCCGTTGACTGCATATTTTTATATTATATTAGCTGAGTGGGCCTTGCTCGGGATTCAATATTAGCTTGAGTTTATGGAATCTACACGAAAACTATGTTTGAACGAAATTTCAAGAACAGTATAAGAAACATTATGCCTTATACTATACATTTTTATATCATATGAGTGGAAAGTTCGTAGAACAAATACTTTAAAATTCTGCACTTTTTAAGATATCTTCGAGCATGAAACTGAGTCAAAATTCAATAAAATCACTTTGAATAGTCAACCTTTGGTCACCAAGTTGGTAGATAACACATTAAGCTTTGATATGAAAGTTGTTACAGCAGGTTTTGTTGTTTCAGTCTCGAGATACAAATATTATAAGCCGTAAATTACCTAAAAACATAAAATGAGCTTCAAAGACCTCTAAATCATCACTGATTTTGCTAAAAAAAATTGCACAGAAGTTCAAATTAACATGACGATCAGTAATCAAGGTTGACCCGGTGCATCCCGAACATTTCGGTTAAAATGAATAGGTCTAATATAGCTGGTCCTCGATGGTTTTTAGTAAATATATCGCTATAGTGATAAATACCGCTTTTGAAAGTAACTTCTGGCAACTTTGATCCAGACTCGCAAAAGGTATATGAACGTCAGAAGGTGCAAAGCACAAAGTGTCACGAACTGTCATCGGTAGCCAAACA